ACTGACCACATAAACAAACACATAGACCTCGGTACAGAATAAACCAACAAATATATGCTATTATTTTATTAAAAGAAAATTTTGCTAATTATTAGGTGTGATCCCTATCAAATTGTAAGTAGCATATTTACGTAATGTGACTTTTGTAATACTTTGTGTCTTGATAAAGGGGCAGATTGTCTCAAAACAATTTACTTGTCCTTACTGTCATTATTACTTCATTAATCAAACACCAATAAAAGTTAGTCTTTAATGTGCAGTTCAATAATATCGTATACTAGAGTAATCAAGAATTCATTTTTAAAATGTGTTTGTTGTTTAATATAGGTGCTGTGTCCAACTGCTGTAGTGTAACCAGAAAAGAGAGTGATGTCACGTGTTTTGGGTGTCAACTGAAAGCCGTACCTCGGGATCTGCCAATCAGCACCACTGCATTAAATCTTGAGAATAACACCATTGAAATACTAGACAATAATTCATTTAAAGACCTACTAAACCTCCAACATCTGATACTTGCGAGAAATGGAATGCATAGTATTACTCCTGGAACCTTTGACATTCTTGGTAACCTGACATACTTGGATCTTTCATATAACGATTTGGAACATTCTGCGTTTGATTCCTCAGTTTTCAAACGACTTCATCAACTTAGATTTTTATATTTACATGGAAATCGATTTCATTTGAAAAAGATATACCCTGAAAATGCGATATCCTTTTTAACATCGCTTCAAAATTTAAGGATAGATATATTCAATGGATTTCAATTTGGAAATGGATTTCTTAATTTGACTGAGCTGAGAATCTTTGATGTTGACCATATAGGCACGGAACGCGTGTCGATTCAAAATACATCTTTCAAAGGACTTGCAAATTCAAAAATATCGCGTTTGTATCTTCAATTTGGAATGAAGAATATAGAAGCAAGTTCGTTATCACCATTCAGCAGTCTTGTGTCGCTTGTACTGGATTCCAAGAAATCCTTGACAATTCAGGAGGTTCTGTTGGGCCTGTATGGTTTACGAGGACGTAATATGGAATCGGTAACACTCACGTCTAATCATGTTCATTACAGTCCAAATGGTTACTTGGTGAAGTCAGATATGGTGTCTCTGGGAATGATTTGTGTCAGGAAATTAGACATGACGAGCAATTTTATTTCGGGTATAAGAATGGAAGCAGTGTTGGCCTGGACTAGTAGGGGATGCCTGCAAGTTTTAGATATCTCAAAAAATGCGATCACGTCACCACAACTCTTGAGCCTGCTGGTGTTGTTTCCATCTATAATATATGTATATTCTTCGTACCAAATCGTTACATTTACGAGGAAACGTCGCGTTTCAATGCAGGAAGAAAAAACCGTGTATTTACCGAAACATTTGCAACATCTTTCTCTTGATCACGATCCTTTTAATTTTGTCCTCGAAGACGTAACAATGGTCTCAGAAGACAACAATCTGAGAGTGCTGGATATCAGTTACCCTGCACATAGAACAGAATGTTCAGAAGGATATATTCAAGGTCTGATACATTTAGAAAAATTGTACATATCTGGTTGGAAGTGTTCAACCCCAAGTACTCATTTATTTGCTAAATTTCCGAGCTTGTCACACCTTGAGGCTAAAGAATGTGACCTCGGACATAGACTTAGTTTGGATGCAGAATCATTGTTCACAGGATTGTTCAACCTTTCATATGTTGATCTCGCTTTCAACAATATTGAGACTTTAAATTCTATTATATTCAATGACCAATCTCATTCATTGAAAACCCTCAATCTTACAGGGAATCGAATGGAACGTCTTACCCTGGAAACTCTGAAGCATCTTCATGTATTAGAAACTCTTGATGTTCGTAACAATCGTATACTTACTTTATCAGACACGGAACGTTCATTAATTGATGTTTGTGCATCTAAATCAGAAAATTTTAAAATAGTTTTGACTGGAAATCCTTTAGTTTGTAGCTGTGACAATTTGGAGTTTCTTGTCTGGTTTCAGACGACCAAAGTTGCTCATGACAGGGATAGCATTGTATGCAGCACACAAGAAGGAAAAAAAGTCCGCATCACAAAGTTCCTTGAATCCTGTGATGAATTCCAGGACAGTTGTGTCGCTCAATTCTGGTTATTAATCTCCGTTACTCTCGCCTTGATTGGAATCTTCTTGGGTATTCTCTTTCGACTTGCCTGGCGGAAAAGCGTTTGGTTACGAGTGAGTTGTCGACAACCCTTAGAGCATGAAATATATCCGTATGATATATTCATATCATACTGCGACAAGGACACTAAATGGGTAGCAAAAACATTGGTTCCGTGGTTAAATGAAAAGAACATTGAATATTGCATATGTTTGCAATGAAATTAGCCAGCACTTATTCATTTCGCGATGGACGTGAAAATATGAATATCATTATTCTACTTAACGATATAAAGTGTAGTGAGTTCCTTAAGCTCATCCGCAAAAACTGGGACATAATTCGTCTTTTACAATGGCCAAATGCAAATAACACAGCTCCCCGACAAACCTTTCGGAAACGGTTGTTGAAATGTATTCAAACAGGACATGAGCGATTCATTACAGAATGTGTTTTAGAATCAAACGTATGAATACCGAGATAAGAAAGTCTTCTGAACTGGATCGCTTATAACCGAAGCAAACGAATAACAAATTAATGTGAACAGTTTACGACTAATCGGTGATCGAGATGAGTTTCACTTTTCGTCTATTGTACTTGTACTTGTTTGATATTAAAATAAAGTTTGGTATTAAGAACAAACAAGAGAAGAATTTCTGTTGATATTGACATCACTTACGTAAATAATCATACAATGTGATTGCATGTAGTCTTTGTTCTTCGACAATAAGGAACGTTTCTAATCTAAATGAATATTAATAGACTTTTTTCTCAAATACATTCATTTTATTAGTTTGAAAATACTTCAATAACACATTATATCTTTACATCGCTAATTTCCATAAATTAAAAAAAGAAACTTATAAAAATGGTTAAATGCCATATCACACCTGCCTTTATATAGTAAAATATCAAAATATTTCAGTTTCTTTCTCAGTACTATCAAATCAGGGTGACTTTCCCATTGTGATAATTTTTACTTAAGGCTGGAATTAATGGTATGTGGAATTTGAGTTTTATACAAGCCTGCTAAAAAACGTTTCTTCTACACGATTTGATTTTCCCCTTGTCAAACGGAAGAAACGCCTCCGTTCTCTAAAGAGAACTTTTTTCAAAGGAATTTAAATGTCTATGAATTATAATGTATATTTTCTAAAAAAAAAAGCACTTTTAAATAAAAAATGAAATATACGGAAGAAGGAATTGTTAATATGACTGAATCATTGGTCGTTGAGTTTGGCGGTAAGATCTTCCAACAGAATATTTAAATATCAATGGCAACAAACCCTTATTTTATCTTACAGTCTATGTAAACTTGTTACACAGATTTTGCAATTTTTTCAGTATCACTTCTTCCCAATATATTGATGATGTCTTGGAATAAGAAGAAATGTATTGACTATATCAGTTATATCCATTATTGATCCACGTTGAGATACATTCATGTCTTTAAAAGTTTCCTTGGATAACCATCTCGCATATACTTTCTCGTACATTTTTCGGCAAACTCAACGGAACTTCGCATAGCATTAGCATTTATGTTGAATAGGAGCTACTTAAATTACTTGTACCAATTAATTTGTTTTCTTGGCGGTAATATTTTTCAGCGAGCTAATATGACGAAGATTGGAACAATGCGAGGGTAGAGGAGAGAGGAGACACAGCTCGAAACTCTGAATGATCAAGGAATCAATTTAGAATAGGGTAAAAGGATAACTATTAACAGAAACGAAGGGGTGCCACTTGGGTAATCAGTGTGGTGCAATTTTGCTTGCTAATAAGGAACAGATTGCATAAAACACCACTATAAAACACCACAATATCAGGATGAAAATAGGCCCCGACAATTTGACAGTTGATAATTCACTTCCATCCAATCTCCGGGAAAACAGAATTCTTGTTTGTGCTAAAGATCAACATTTCAGATATATCTGCAACAAACTGATGAACAGTATTGCCCTCTTTGATGTCATCAAATGTTATATTTGGTAGCAATGGTATTAAAACTTTATGAGAAAATATGTCAAACGTGTCTTCTTGACAGGGACGACTGAATAATAATATTCAGTCTCGCTTTCCCTCTTCCGTAAGCCCGTGACGATGAAACATTTATATGCAAAATGTATGCATGAAGTAACAGATAACTACCGTTGATAAAAAGGGCAATATCTCACAATGATCCATAAAGTACAAACACGCAAATCATTGTCTCTACACCACACAAGTCATGGATACTGTCTTTAAACATACAGATATTCTCGTGAAATCGCAGGAATTCGAGGGGGGGCATGGACACAATGTTTTTTTGTGGATAAGGATGATGAATTTGGATTTTCTTTTTTCAGTACTACTGTTTGATGATACTTATGTTTATATGGTATGACTAAGTCAACACAACTGTTATGCATTTTACTGTGACATTTTTCGCGGTATCTTGTAATTTTACGATTGCTTAGAAAGGTTAGAAAGGATTTCCAGCTCTGGATTTCGAAAATCCTGTATCTAGATTCGTGATACAGATAAAATTATCCATTCGTTTTTACAAGTAATGGAATGGCAGGCAGAATATTGATACTTACATAATTAGACATAATTCGTTTTCAAATTGTAATTTTAGTGAATGTGACATGCATTCCTTGGCAGATTTTGTTCTTTGTTTGTGTGGATTTGGTTTATCAATTTTGCATTTTTCTTTACAATGTGAACACTCCTACCGTTCTTTAGATGGATCTAACACCGACACTAAATTCTCCAACACAGAGACCGTAGTATCAGAGATGGAATGCGCAATAACGTGTTCATTTTATCATTGTGTTTCTTTTACATTTGATACACAAACAAAACTGTGCCGAACACTTGGGATCATGAGCCGTGATGAAACGGAAATGGTGACGTTACAAGTCCGAAATTACCAAAGGCAAATTCTGGGTGAGTTAAACACATTATGATTATACGCACAAGGCTAAACTTCAGAAATCAGAAGTTATAGTTTGATAAAATGTCATTCCTTGATATATATATATATATATATATATCCGTTCATCGTTGTTACTGTTTCAATATGCTAAACCTTCAGTAGAATATCATAACATGTGTATCCCGAAATTTCATCTTTAGAATCTTACTCTGTTGTGTTAGGCCAATCTTATTAAATTGCTATTTCTTTTTGTACAAATGTAACCAACAATGATCCTGCTATGAATAGGAATGTACTATCACAAAAACAAAACGAAAACTCGAATATGTCGATGGAATTTAATCCAAACTCGAAATCAATGAAAATGGGGGTAAATATGACAAAAAGAGAATGATTAAGGAACCTCTTATTCAGGTTTAAGGATAGTAAGTTTTCTGTAAGATTGTTCAAAACCCGCACAAGTGGAAAACGCATTTAAGTACAACTTTAGAGTTAGATACAGTAGACTCAGACAAGGAATTCAATTACATCAGCTGTTTCGTCCTTGTTTGACTCGTCAATGTTGCTAAGGGGCAGGAGGCAAACGAGGAAAAATTTTTAAAAAAAATCCAAAAGTAATCCAAAGAAAAAATCAAAACCTAGATTGGGTGCACTAGCCCCAATATTCAATAGATTTCTAAATTTCAATACATCTGATAATTCTTAAACAAAGTCAAATATACAGCAACATCGATAGTTCCTACCATGTAGATAATGGTAGATTCAAGAAAGCAATGTCTTTTTCCCAGAATAAAAACAAGATCAATGCTCTTGTGGTCTAATCCGAACATGTGGTCAGTTAGTTTACCAAAGAATAAGTCACCCAAATGGAATGCTTTTGCGATTTAGTTTTCTGTTTTCATTGTCTATGTTTAACGTTTTCGATATGATGATTTAATTAGCATTTTCAATCGGTGAAAGGAATTTAAGATAAATTAAGTGCTATATCGTGCTTCAATGTTCAATAATTCATGATTTTCCCTAGGTTTGTAAGAATTCACATATCTTGAGTAAGTCCTGATGCATGCAAATACACATAAAGTATTGTAATCAGTAAGAAAACTGTAATTCTACATTTGTTCTACAATATAACGTTTATATATATATATTATTAATGTAGTAGAATTATTTATGAAACAGGAGATAATGTATGCTGTTATACCTCCATCTATTGCGACTGAATAATTAAAGCTCACAATGGGGAGATAAAAGTACATCCCTCGAGATTTTTCGGAAAGCTTTAAATATTTAAATCTCCCATCGTGAATCTTAATGGCAATTATCTATTATCAAACGAAAACTTACACACTAGAAATAGATAAATAATAATAAAAAATACAGCCACTTTTAATAATTCATGACATAAGAAGACTATGCCGATAGGGTGTAAGAACTGAGCTTGCTGTTGCTTAACCGAAAGAGGCGACCAAATAGGGACCTTGCATTACTGACTATAGATAAAAGTATTCTTTTCCTCTTTCTTGTCAAGTCACAAACACGCAAGATATCAAGAATATGAAATATAAGGTAAAAATGTATTATGGAACGACATACTTTGTAACATTAAATGTCAAAATAAATGTCATTATATTTACAAAAGGCGTTCTAGAAAGTTTACTTTGTTGAGGTTCTTAAGCACGCAATGAGAATCGGCTAACGATGATATTTTTACAATAGAATTTGTGAACCGTATTGCTTTAACGACAACACGAAAACAACGCAGTTGGCTTTATCTACAATAATTGCATATTAAACATACAACCGTTCGACCATTTAGCGTAATCATACAAAAGTTCAATCTTATTCTCGTGTCAGTTAAATTACATTAAATATTCCTTTGATGTGGGAATACACTATGTATGTGCAGTATTGTTTTGTTGAGTATGATATGTGTCCCATCTGTATAACAAGGTCGGCCAGGTATACATAGACGTACTACACAGGGACCTGGCATTAATTCGCAACGCACGACTTGTATTTACTAAAGTGGCTATTATTATTATCATTCTTAAAGGTCCGTTAACACGTAAAAGGTCATTAGGGCCATCAACAGGTGAACGACACAGCGATCCAAAATGAAATAACACCAAACGAACCTAAAGGCAAATGTTAAAAATCTCATAGTTATAATATATTACAAAAGATCACAAATGGTACGTCATATCTTGTGATAAAGACCAAACCTCCAGATAAAATAGAATCTGAATAGTTTCAAAACTGGTCTTTAGACTTGTAACATTACGAATAACAATGTCCTTGAGTAAACAGAAGATCAATGCGGTTCAATAAAAATTGTGTAACTGTAAATGGTTCATCATATGCTATGCACCAAAGATTATCTTTTCCTTTCAACATATATGAATGTGTTTGATGAACGAAATTGGCCAAGTATTGACCAAGTTATGACCTGACGAGTACTACATGTACTTATATTGAGTTTTTAATGAATCATAATATAGACTCGGTAGAACGATCCGAGGCACGAGATTCGACGTTCTATACCTGCGGCGTTTGATGCGAGACGGTCCATGCTGTCGTGGTTGTGTCCTGGAACAAGACGATTGGATACACAATTGATCTGCATATGCAACACGCCTTCCGTATGTTGTTCAGTGAGGTAGCCATTAGATATGTATACAAGGAGTTTCCGCCCTCCATATGACTGGTTGTTCATGAGGCGATAATTCCAGCAAAATTATGACATCAAGCTAAGCTTATCAGATGGATCATATTCTAAACACTTTATTAAAGAGAAGTTTAACGATGTTAATATATTCGAATGTTAATGCTTCGTGCATGATTTAAAGAAGTATACCAGGTATATTCCTTTGTTAAAACTAGGTCAAACTATACACTCTATACCTTGGCGATTTATCTAACATCCACTATTTCAACCAAAGCTCATATATATACATGACTTTATAAATAGTTGTTTCGAATGTTAAATTGCTAGATATGATAAATAACAAAACGAGAAACACGTATAGGTCAACAGAATCTTAAATCAAACTTAAAGTCAAAGTAAGAACAAAAGAAATATTTACATGGAGACCTCTGCAAAAGTACAAGGAGAACAAGACCAAACGTTCCGAAAATATAAGCATCTCCTGCTTCAACCACGACACCCGCCATGTAAATCATGGTCAATCCAAAATAGAGAACAGTGTTACATTTATATCTGTGTCACCATATTGGCAGCAAAATCGACGTAAGACTTAAATCCCGTTAAACATTTATTGAAGAAATCAATGAAAATCTATAGCTTTATCAATGAAAATCTATAGCTTTATCAATGAATGTTCATAATGACTAGTATTGACATCTTGGTCTTTTTCGATTGCAGATTGTGGTGATATTTGCTGTACTGATTGTTCGGGGGTGTACCAAATAACTCCAACACCAGGAATTTCATTCAATGTGTTCTGCGTTCGAGACACAATCGGAGGTCCTTGGACGGTAAGCATTGCTTAGTACTCTGATAAAAAATACTGTCGGGGTCCTCAGACTAATAGGATCATATAGTTCATTGAAACAAGCATCCTCGATACTCTAGGGGTTACAATCATTTCGTTCTCTGGACCCCTGGAACATGTCATGGGAAAATTGAAGATTCCATGTGCGATACCTGGTGGATGAGACGAGAATACTAGTTAAATCTTTTTATGTACGATTGATAAGTTGTAAGCCTTTTTATTTATGGGTTTTGCTTTTGGCGGACAAATTGTAATATTTTTCAACATAATCCCATTCAGTAGGGACTCAGTGCCACTTTTATAGAAGTCCTTTTCTTCATCATCTGGCAGAAATTGGGAATCGGTTATAATGAAAATACAGCTATAGAGCCGAGGTAACCCGAACTTTCACGTGGTAGAGAAAGCCTGAAATGTTTAAAAAATAATAATGGTACCCGTCACTTTTTTTTTCATTTTAGTTTATCTGAATCACTGAGTCTTTCTCAGCCTCCTACAAAATGGAAACGAACTGAAGATTGCTTTTACCACAGATTTGTGACGGCTTATTTTCGGGATGTGAATAAGACCTTTCTTTGAAAAGAATATGTTTAATCGAAATTTATGACAGTGGTTTGGACAATGTTAACACTGACATTTTATCAAATATTATTCATAGAAATATCTTCAAAAATTACATTTTTATTCATTGTATCCGTCCATTTACACAATATGCACATATGTACTAGACCAGGTACATGTGTAAAACTGTTAACAAAACATTTTAATATTTTTCAGTGTTTAATAGTTCGTTACTTTCAACTATGCCTTATTTTGCACAGGTAATTCAACGACGTTTTGATGGCTCCGTCGATTTTTATCGAAATTGGACTGAATATAAGCACGGATTTGGAAATATTCTTGGTGAATACTGGCTGGGTAAGTTTGATAGCATGAAAAACAAAAATAAAAAGTAAGCAATTAAAACTTCTCATCAATTACCATACAAAGCACTTTAAATATTTGGTAACCTTCGGAGTGCTTCACCATAACTTGTTTAAAGATTCTTTGAGATTCTGTTACAAATAAGCGATGAATTGACTTGTATCCAGATAATAGAGTTTAAAGTTGATGGAAAATGTTGTTTGTTTTCATCAAACAGCAGCATGTACTACTTAGTGGATTGTTCAATGATTATGTACAGTTTTTATACAGATTTACTTCTGGAAAAAAACTTGTCTTTTTTTCTACTCTTTAAAACGCGATGGAAAAAACAGCGTTTAGCAACAATTCAAGACGAAAACTTTTAAAAAACAAAGAGAAAAAAAATGTATCTACGACATGTTTTAAATTGGTTACAAGATTCCTTCTATATATGATTTCGACAACTTCAATAAGATGGCTTATGATATCTTTCTGTCTGAATATACATCATCACTCATATCTATAGAAACAGTTTTATAATTCAAATTGATAGTTAACATGAACACAAATTATGCCTTTGATCACTTGAAAGCATTTTATCATCCTTGGTTGCTGTGCATAAACTTTGCAAAAATTGGGACGGACTATCACATTGGTTCTCTCCGGTGTTTTTCTCTTCCAATAACAACCAGTTTCTGGGATCTCGTGGAAATACTACAGGATTTGAATGATTATAGCACTTACTAATAATATCGTAGAAAATCCTGTTTTCCTCAACTTTTCAATTCACACCAAGTAAACACTGTAATACTACTGTAGAGAATCATCAAATATCAGGGGTTATACCAAAAGGCTGCATTTCACTATTCACAATTTGTCCTTAAAAATTAACATACAGATTTTTAATGGTCCATTTTCGGCTTTTTCGCAAGCTTGAAGTAGAAAAGATGTAATTTTTTCATGAAAATCATGAAATGCGGCCTAATGTTTTCTCTATGAAGTTTATTTTTCAGGGGTTTTCATTTTCGCGATTCCATTCCATCTTTGAAGACAGTAAAAAATAAGTCTCTCAAAAATTACAAAATTTACAGAATTATTGACAGAGAGAGAAAAAAAAACCCTTACACCCTATCAATAAATGAAATATTTCTTTTTTGTCTTCAATTCGATGTGTTTGTAGGTTTAGATTACATCTACAGTCTCCTCAGCTTGGGACAAATGTTATTTGTGCAGTTAGAGGGATGGGATGGTACCACTGGTTATGCTTGGTACGAGATTTTTGCTATAAAGAACGAAACTCAGAAATACCAACTAACCATCGGCGGATTCAAAGGCAACGTTGGTAGGTAACGTGTAACTCCACGATCATACATATCATGTGTTTATTATGTTATCATTGCGGGATATTTTCCCGCATCGGCGAATAGGATCTATCTTACCATCAGCGTACATATCAACCGTCTTAAGTTTACCTATGTTTCTCAGAAAGTGTACTGTATTGGTGTGATTGAAACCATATCCTGTATACTTAGTTCTAACCATTTACAACTAAAAGCAAGACTAATTTTCATTTTCATTTTTTTCACAATTTTGAATATTGAAAATGGTTAAAAAAAACATATATGTATATATTTCATAGCTCGTTTATACAGCTTTAGAGAAAAATACCTCCCTTTTGCATCAAAGAAAAAATGTACAGTACGGCGCTGGTGTACAAAGCTGTACGCAAACAAGTAAGCTTTTATGAAGCCGTGTGGGATGATTAAATCCCTCTTATCCTTTACACATGTTTCAGGGGACATGTTAAATAATCACAACCAGAAGTATTTCTCCACCTACGATAACGATAATGACAAAGCAGTATCTCGCGACTGCGCAAAGTTCGCACATGGAGGATGGTGGTACCACAACTGTTATATGTCCAATCTAAACGGACTCCTCGTTAGGGATTTAGGTGAGAACGAACGAAGTTCTATGAACTGGAATTATTTCTACGCAGACAGACGTCAACCACCCCTGAGAAAAAGTACCATGATGGTAAAAAGGAAAAACATGGAGTGAACGAAATGAAGCATTTTTTGACGGAAGAGGTGACTTGGAGAATAGGGTTTGAAAATATGTTGTAACCGTATTGAAGAAATGAAGGAAGTTTTACCAACTTACCAACTAACCCTGTTAACCTAGATATTTTTTTAAACTGCATTTAAAGACAGGTTTATAACAGATGTTTAACACAAAACAAATGTTGCCGTTTAATTGCCAGTACTGACTAAGACAGAAGATAGAAGCACGAAAGCAGAGAAAGAAATTGTCTTCATGTGAAAAAATGTACGTTGTATCATTTTTGAGGTTGTGCAATTGTTCACGAGCAGTCTGTAAATCGAGCACCGGATGTTTTTGTGAAGAGTATATGTAATATAATATGACATCATACATACCATAAAGTTGTAGTATTTAATATGACACCATACACATAAGGACCAAAGTTTGTTATATATTGATATAGTTACCATAAGTGAACAAACTTTGGCTCAAAACTTTACAGTCTGATACCGTAGAGTAATCCATGAATTCTTTTAACATTCGTCTCCTTTATATTCCTGTATTGCCTGTCTGAAACCTCTATTGACCTCTGACCCTTCCTCTTCTGACCTCTGACCCTATCTCTTCTGTTACTTGTTACGCTGGATGTGTTTTTTGTAGATTTAATCATGTGCTGTTTCTCTCTGTGTGAAATACGGAGCAACGATATAGCTCATTACCTAGTGGAAATCGGTTGCTTCTACCAACGTACACACAGGGGCCTCTAACAATGTTTCTTGGGAATTTGGGCATGTATGATATGGCATGTACTATAACTTGTTGTAGTATACCATACAAGCCTTCATTCCCCAGAAACGTTGTTACTGGCCCCTGTGTGACACATGGTATATCACCTGCACAAATATTTTATCATTTTCATCTTCTATTGGTATATTTGCTAGATGTCGGCCCAACTTGATATGGGTTTCAAATACAATATTATTTGCCGTACTAACCCATACGTTATAGGTTACGACGTACGCCCTAACCCTTGCAACTACCGTAAAGATGTCATATCTATCTTTCATTTGAACATTCGAAGTTTGAAAATAAATTCATTTTTGGATATGCAGCATCAGCTTCTGATAGTTTCTGTGTAATCGAGAATCACCATGATGCTTCGATTGCAGACGCTGATATAGTAAAGACCACGGAACACTGGGATGGGACATATTTCTTTACACTTTCAGTTTCTTGTGCACCCGGCGTGTTGCTGACTTGGACCGAACTCCGGTTTCCAAACAAGAAATATATCCCATCCCGCTCCACTTGGAATTACTTTCGATGTTTCATATATCGTAATTGTTTGTGATATTAAAGTGAACCTGTTAACTACTAACAATAATCATGATTGTGTTGATATCCATGATTCGTCTATTGAACACCATCAATAGACCGACACGTGTAGGAGGCACGAGCTCTACACTGCTTGACCCGATTTTACTTTCCGACACGTGCAGTTTTAGCTTTGATTGACATAGACCACAGCTATATTTCAGACCGTTAAGCTGCCTGTCGGAACAGTGTTCTGAAAGACATATGAGAAGAAAATCTAATGATAATTGACACAACTCACAGTATGTCCAGTCTTAAATTAGACGATACTGACTGTACAGTCTTATTCCCGAATGCTAACTTCCTTGTTTGCAATTGGAACTTCACGACGTCTCAAATTAGCTGAGGAATGTATACCGACACGGACTTTAACGATTCGACCAAATGACAAACCCTGGTATGACTCAACAAGAGATCCCAGAGGGATCTTGGCGCCCACCATTTGAGGATCTGTTTTCAGTTCTTGAAGATTTGTTTATTTTTGTTTGTTTGTTACAGGTGTTGTAAATGTTCATGAACTGGTCTTCATTGAATGTACTCAATGATGGCACAAGATATTTTTATTAAGCACCTATTAGCAAATATCATTTGAAAAAGATCCCAAAGTATTATTAGATAGCAGTCAGTTACAGGTGGATAATGGACAATATGCTTGTGCTGTATTACTGTCGACATCCAAGATGGCTGCCTGTGGGCCACCTTGATTTCAAATCAGTCCAAAAAAGGTACAATGCACAACTTGGAACCAAGGGAAACCAATATCTATGAAATATCAGAAGGATCCATCCAGTACTTCCTCAGATATAGCAGTAAGAAAATTTTATTCTCAAAATCCAAGATGGCTGCCTGTCAGCCATCTTGATTTCTTATCCTTCCAAAAAGGTATAATGCACAACTTGGAACCAAAGGAAACCTGCATATGAAATTTGAGAAAGATCCATCCAGTACTTTCCAAGAAATAGCAGTAACAAACTTTTACATTCAAAATCCAAGATGGCCAAAAGGTCCAAAAAAGGTACAATGCACAACTAGGGACCAAGGGGAACCTGCATATGAAATTTGAGAAAGATCCATCCAGTACTTTTCCAGAAATAGCGGTAACAACTTTTACTTCCAAAATCCAAGATGGCCACCTGTCGGCCATCTTGAATGCGAATCAGTTCAAAAAAGGTACAATGCACAACTAGGGACCAAGGGGAACCTGCATATGAAATTTGAGAAAGATCCATCCTGTACTTTTCCAGAAATAGCAGTAACAAGAATTGTTTACGGACGGACGGACGACGGACGGCAGGGCGATTTGAATACCCCACCATCAGATTTTTATCTGTGCAAAATTTAATGGGATATTTGATCGATATTCAAATTCAAATTCGCGATTTTTTTTTTTTTTTTTTTTTTGAAAAACTGTAACTTGATAAAAAAAATCACCAATGATTCTAACGTCATTTCATATAAGCACACTTTAAAAAATTGAAAGTACTGATAATTGTAAAGCTAACATCCTGAATGATTTCTTTGTTTCATCTCTACTATTGATGGCACCGATATTCGGTAAGTAACACAGTAGAAATGAGGTCAGACACCACTTTTTTTTACATACAGTTTGATTTGAGTAACATCATTGACATATTGAAGTCGTTAAGTGTTTTTTTTTTAATCCGTTATAGACAAATTAGTCATGATATGTTGTCTCTTGTATTTCAATTTTCTTTGAAAGCATGCATAAATAACACCATTTTTGTAATTACAGCCAATTTCGTTACTAAGTACGGTTGGGAAAGTTTTAGGAAGACTGGATGTAAATACATTACTAATTACTTGCTTGAAAATTAATTTGTATATAAGTTTTTTAGCCTGGTCACTCGATATTTCATGAACTTGCCCTATACGACAAAGGAAGATTTGAAAATTCCTCCATCTGCCGGTAAAAAATGAACAGCGTCACTGTTTGCTACATTTGTACTATGCATAGTGCCCTGGCAAAACCTCAACATCTTTTGAAGGATTTTATATGTCTTTACACACGCCAGGATTATACAAGCTGGCTTATTTTGATGGGTAAATAAAAGCCTGTGTATATTCAGTTATGGTACATTGTATCTTTCTCAGTGTTATTTTGGGTTATTATTCAATATCTTCTGAAGTAAAAACAAACAAGAGATCCCAGAGGGATCTTAGCTCCAACCATTGTTTGATCTTTATATGCTCTTTGAAAGTTGGATATTTTCCCTTCTTTTCTCTGTTTTTGCTCTTATTGAAAAGACATTCGAACATTCTTTGCAGAAATAAATAATTTTTACCTGCCAAATCAAAATGGCCACCTAGAAGCCATTTTGTTTCTTCTGATTAGTCCGAAAAGCAAACGAGCACAAGGAGAGATCAAAAGGATCACACAAATGAAATTTGAGAGATATCCATTCAGTACTTCTTCAGAAATAGCAATAATAATCTTTACGTGGAAAACTCATAGGTGGCTGCCTGTCGGCCATTTTGTTTTCTGATCAGCCCCAATCTCAAATAGGCACAACTAGGGACCTATCCTAAACATGGAATTTAAGAAAGATCTATACAGTGATTCTCATGAAATAGCGATAACAAACTTTCAAAGTCAAAAATCCAAGATGGCCACCTTTTGGCCATTCTGTTTTTCTGATATGTCCCAAAACTTCATTTGCACATTAAGAGACCAGGGAAAACATACATATGAAATTTGAGAGAGATCCATTCCTTGCTTTTCAAGAAATAGTGATAACAACTTTCATTGAACAAGAGTGTCCTGGACACAATATATGCCGCCACAAAATATAAAGAAGAAATGGACGTATGGACGGACAGAGAAGATGACGCCAATATATGACTGCCTCCGGCGGCGTATAAAAAATCCAAGATTGCTGCCTGTTGGCCATTTTGTTTTTTTGATCAGTCCCAAAATGAACGGAGCACAACTAAGGACCAAGATGAACCTACATATACAATTTGAGAAAGATCCATTTAGGACTTTTCAACAAATAGCCATTACAAAAATTGTTATGACAGACTACGGATGTAGAGCGATCTGAATAAATGGTTGGCTAAAAAAAAATCTGCACGAGGCAAATGTACCACCCAATATGATGTTTTATCATGAACTTTTCTTATTGGATTAGATCACAATATCAACAGGTAAGTAAATGATTTTAATTGGATTTAATAACAAAAGCACATCTCAAACAAAATTGAAACTGATAACAAAATTATACACTTTCAGTTTGAAATGAAATAGAAATGATATCATGTAATTAAATTACATGTCATTCCAATAATTTTTTTCAATCATAGCCATGTATTGGGTCAATTAATGAATATCAATCATTAACCTATTAAAAATCAAAGGTACCAGCACTTTCAAAGAGTTCATTGGTGAACCCACGTCATTGTACAAGAGACGCACAAGTGACTAGTACTGTTCTTATCCAAGGTATGAGTTTCTAAATATTAAATCATTTTTACAAAAATGATGAAATGAAAACAAAATCATTACATTTAATCTTAGAACAGATTTTTTTTACGTGACTACTGTAAAATAGCATCACCATTCACCTTTTGACACAAATAGAAACTAAGACTTATACAAGAAATTATTATTATTATACAAGAAAGTTCAGACACATTTGACTATGAAGCAACATCACCTTGAAGTCATTTCTGACAACTTCTTGAGAAAAACAAGCACACAAATTATTACATATAAACCCTGTTGATAATAATAGTCCTTACAAAAGGTGCAAGATTTTCCACTTTGAAGGTGGCAAGAAAAGGATGAGCTTGCACTGAAGCAGGAAAATATACTGTTTACATTATTGACTACATTTTTCATTTGGCAATCTGGCTTCGGTACAAAGAGATAATTCATTATTTTTAATCATGCTTACTGCTAGTGCTTTAAATAATACCAAACAGTTCTTTTTTCAATATCAATATATAGCGCTTACTATTTCTGATTTTTTCCGTTTAATTTCTGCAGAGTTCAACATACTAACCTCCTGATGTAAACATAAAACGGAATAAATAGAAATAAATTTTCTGTTGTCTTCAGTGTCCTGTTTTAAATCACAAACTCTCCCTGTGATGGTTCTGTATGATTAGTGAACCTTAATATTACATGTTGCAATACTTTTAGAAATAATAATATCAAATGATTATGGAATTTACAAAACATTACACATACACAACTCGATACTTTGAAATATACAATACACCTTCCAAACAAAAAAAAAAAAAAAAAAACCAACAAAATCATAAAATTCACAGTTACCTTTGAACTTTATAAAGAAATATCATTGATTATTAAGACACTGCAATCACAAACAAAGTAATGCTGTAAAGCATGTGATGTTTTCCATAGAAGTCAGGGAAGCTGCAAATGCTTTGGTATAAATATGTACAGAAGTATGATCAGCAGTATTGTGCAATGGTTGGCGTATAGTCACACTTGCTCAAACTGTTCTGGTTTGAATTAGAGTCATTATTACTCAAACTGTTCTGGTTCTGATTGGTTTCCTGGAGGTTTCTCGCAGCAGTGTGGACTTCCTCAAGAAATTTTGGTAAGCCTGAAATGATTGATAAAATCATATTAGATTCATGTGAATTTCACTTTCCAGTCTTTTCTCCTACTTTTCCTCATCAAACTTGAAGCTTTTCCGAGATTTTTTTATTTCACTACATCAGAAGTTGTACCCATGGCTTTGAATTTTGAAAATCCCAAATTCGGAAAATAAAAATTCAATCATAAGCTTAATTCTCTGCTAGTAATATCTCCAACTAGGCCGACACCAATACACTACTCTCTAAGCCCATAACTGTCAAAAAATTTCTTAAAGTACCATTATTTTTGGAATTTTAATTCTTGGGATAGGAAAAAATAGAGTAATGGAATTCTGGCTCTTATCAAACACAAAATCCTAATGATAAAAATCCCTGTTTCTCCAAATGACTTCAACAAAATCTTCCAAGAGAAACATCAAGGTTTAGTTCTCCCTTGTTTTACCCTGACCAGGTGTAAACTTTTACCAGAGATGCCAATGTCTAACCCCAAGTTTCAGTGAGATGTGTCATGATTACACAATTACATGAATGTTTGAAAAGGAACACTTCCAGTACCATTAGGAAAATATACATTGAACTTTTAAAACTTTACATATTGACATGGGGCACACCCACACACAACAAGTGTTTAACACTTTGTCCTTTAAAGATGAGTTGACACTGAATGGATATAGGACATGTTGGGACAGATATATAACATCAGATGTTTCCCTTGTAAAATGACAGGGGAGAAAGACAACTCACCTTGAGTTGCTACCCACTCATAAGCCACTGATGGAATGGAGGACTCGGGATCATCATAGTAAGTCAAAACATAGTCAAAACCATTCTGTAACACAGAACAAGCAACTTGTTTTGACACATAGAAGAATATGATAAATAAGAATTAAAAGAGATTAATTTTCAATACATAAAGTTTTCATTTGGGGTAATATACACTAATACTTTGTAACACTTACAACAAAAGGATCATCTGAACAGAAATTTGTGCTATCTCTATGAGCAAATTTCTTTTGAAAATGTTAAACTGACTTAAAACTGAAAAAGTACCACCTCAACCTCAACCTAGGTGAGGCCAATTCAGCAATATTAAAGTAGTTCAACTAACTAAAAGCTAATTAAGGCAATCAAAAGACCTTGTTTCAAGGATAAATACATAGGTTCTTCATCTGTAGTCTTAAAAAGTCAATGCAAATTAACTTAGTGTCAATGTATAACAATATCTTACCTCGTTGAAGTTTGTATGAGGTTTGATGACTAGGTCTGACTCGTATTTGGTAATTCGCACACATTTTTTGCTTTCTGGAATGCTGGGATGATCTGTACTATGAGACATGAGCACCATCACATTCTTCTGACGATCAATCTGAATTTAATTAAAATTATAAGTCTATTTGTGGGTTTATAAATATATATTATGCATGCAAGCATTGGTCTAAAACACTTCATTTCAATTCCAGTTATCTTTACAAAAAAATAAAATAGTAATAAAAAGGCGATAGATTTTAATACTAATAAAGTTTCCAGCTATTTCGTCCGCAACATAAATGTGATCAACATTACCTTGTATCTTCGCATAAAGACATACTCTCTGTCTGCCATTGGCCACTACAAAATCACAAAAATTCACACTGTTGATAAAGGCAAAGAGTATTTATAACATAATATCAACATTCTGATAAAAAATATCGGAGGAAGGCAAACTGGGTTATTGTCATTATTATATACAGTATGTTACATGGTATATATTTTGATCAAAAGCTAACTCAGTCTTAATCCACTTAAAACTTACCACAAATTTTGTAACCCAGTGAACTATCTCTGCTCCTGACCCTTTGTCCTGGTCAACCACATCTAGTTTGACGACGCGTTTGTCCCATTTCTTTCTATACTGCAAGTCCACCTGATAATAGTAAATATAAAGCAGTTCTATACATATGTACAGAAATACATGTACAAGTTTCAATAGAGAATATGATAAGCAGCTCTTGGAGTCAGAACTACAAACAGTATATATTCTATATTCAACTGTGGCTGGTTTATGAAAATTTTCTGAGAATTTGGGTAAAAAAAAAAAAAAATTGTTGATATTTACATGTTCTTATTATTTCATGGATCAAAGTTTCATATTCGTAATTATGTTATAGCAATGGGCCTCAAAATACAGAAAATATCAGCCCCCTCCTGCCCCAAATTTAATCAGCATTATTGTAGCATTTGTGTGTACTTTTACAGGGGAAAAAATCACACAGACTGCATATTAGACATGGGTTTATTACTGGATATTCAAATTAAAATGCATCAGCTTTGGTTCAACGTACCTGTACTGTGTAGAATGACATAGGTGTAATGTCGTGATATGTGCCATATACTAAAAAAGAACAGGAAGGATATTTAAATTAAAACAAACATGTCAAGATACCAAAGTTGTTTAGTCCTTAACTGTAAAATTTACCATTCATTTGGATTTTAAACCAATTAAATCCTCTGTCTTTTGGCCGATTACTTTTTCTAGAACTGAAAGCTCACAACCATCATTACTGAACAAGTACAAATACAAATATAAAATCAAGTGAATAGCAATACCTTTATATTCCTCAACACGTGATCCTTCGACAGGTTTGCTCCAAAGTTTGAAATTGGGGTTATTCATGACACAGGACCATGTCTCCAAGTAACGGCTGACACAACTGTCACCCTGACTGACATTGTTTTCATTTCCCCTACTTTGAGAACCATTGTCTACATCACTTCCTGCACCATTTTCGGAGTCTGCATTCAACATGTCCTGTATGTGTTTCATGTCTTCAATACAGCTAAAAATATAAGCATTTCCATCCCTCTTTAGTGTTTGCAAACATCAAAATCTACCTTATATAAATATCAGAATATTGGACTATTTTTATCCTCTCAATATTTCCCTTTGTAAAAGATTTCATTCAGTAATGAGATTTAAGGCTCATAGCATGCATAGATTCTAAAATTGGTTTCTTAGATTTTCGAGCCATATTTTACTTATAGAATTCCATAAGAACACATTTAAGATGTACCTCTCTCATTTACAATAATTATTTTGATGACCTATCAGAATCCCTGCCATGTCTCGGGGCATAAAATTCTCTTACTTCAACACCAACATTCCTATTTGCATTTACAATTGTAACACAAATCATAAATATTGGATGCAATTAACATATAAGAATATACATACAGGACTATTGATACCCAATGTCAATCATCAAGGTAATGCTGATGGTGCTATTGAAGATGTGAAATGATACGAGTAATAAACAAATAATGGATAAGTATTCTGAATTTAAATGCAAATGATAAACAATTAAAAGATAAAAAAATATATTCTATAAAAACTGAGCAGAATACGCCAGTCACCTCATTATCAGAAATCTGATCTCACCATTTCGTCTACTGGTACAAGTTCCCTACTGAGGAGTCTGATGTGGCTCCAACATGGAAATTAAACCTTTTGAAGGCCATTAGATTGTTAAATTGTATAATGTCTGATATTGAAGCCAAAGCAGACACATGTTTTGATTTCCACTAACAGAACCATGAACTCTATAAATTGTTAATACATATATTGTTATTTTGTGCATTTAAAGTATAATTCACTTGCAGCTTCAGCAGAAGTAATAGTGTGAATTTTAGAATAAAGAATGTACATGTGCTCTACAATATGTTTTTGTGTACACATTTCCTTTACTTCCCAACATATTTCCTATACTTCCCCCATGTGGACCGAAATTTGATTATGGAATAAAGGAATGAATTGTTGCTGGTTAAGACAGGACTGACTAAATATTAAAAGATTAACTGACAGAACAATTTCTGAATGACTCAATCACCAGTATATAACTACATTGTATATCAATCTATCCTGCAACTGGCACTGCCATTGTCAGAATACACCTACCACATATATTTTTCTGTGTTTGGCAGTGACAGAAATAATGAAGTGTGAAAATTTATTTCCGTGTGGAGCAATTATTTCGGTATTTGTCCTCAGGCAAAATTCAGGGTAACTTCAACATCAGGTAAACACAGATTAAACAACACTGTTAAAAGTTTTTCAATCAATGTTGCAGGACATAATACATAGTCAGTGTCTTAAAATATAAGCAATTTTTGGGCTAGGGACTGAGCGATAAAAGCGGCTCGCCCTCGCCAAAATGCACCTTATATTTTAAGACACTGACCATGTTTTCTGTATATATAATGCAAAGCACAACTATATGCCCTCTGTAAGGTCAGAGGTCAACATTATGAAACAAACCAATCAGTGAATCACGGTTACTACACGTGCACACATGGTTACAAATCACTATATTTTTTTACGATGTTTGTAGATGCTAACCTTTCTAGATCAGAGTCAGTTAGTTGGTTATTTTGCCAAGAAAACAAAGCTGCTCCGTAAAGACAAAACGCACTCTTGATTTTTCCATTTCTCATAAAGGGATCACTAAATCTGTTAATGATCCGAACCACAGACTCTCCGTAAACTCTTCTGTACAAAAACAAAATCTGTGTTGTTCTCCGTAAACGCTGTGCAACAACACCATTGCACTGCTTAATTGTCAAATCATTCAATATTCCAAATTGGTCTAAAAGTTTTCGGACAATCGCTGTCTGCCAGAAGGCGTCCCCCTTCTTTTCAGCTAGCGTTGTAGCTCGTTTGAACAAAATCTGCTGTGTTTTCTTCTTATTGTTTGAGAGAAGACGATGAGTCAAAATCCTTAATTGCAGGAAAAGGTTATCCACGCTCATTTTTGAAGTATATGTGCACCAATAATCTTATGAAACTCGGGCGGACATTTCAAGTTCAAGTTCACCGGCCTACCACATGGCTGACGTTCTTGCAGACTAAACTAGTCGATAAACTAGTCCAAAGGTCAAAAGTAAAATTGTTAATCTTTATGCAAATAGTTTCCATACAATTTCATGCAATATTTATACTTATTACTATTAAGACATTTTTTTAGCGTTATGTGCAATTTGATTACAGAATTACGAGCATTCTTGTGCAGAATTAGGATATTATCGCCTACTTTTCTTATGCCCTTGACATTGCTTTGACGACCACACAATTTCAGGGGAGATGACTCTAAACAATCATACGTATGCAACTTCCGGAATCAATATTTACACGTTCCTTGAGGTATTGCAAAATTTTTGTTGATCTTAAGTTTCCCCTTGAGTTAGATATGCAGACGGCACGACACATACACGTTATAATACGGTAAAGTATTTGAATGAGAGAAAACTATACCAATATTATTTAGTCTACCCCTTTTCGAAATACTTACTTAGCGTGGTTTTCTGGTATATGACTTAGTGGTCATGTACTGACTACTGACAAGTACTGTGTACAAGACTCGTTGTCAAATGTTAATCCCCATAATTGTTGTGATCCTGTTACTTCAAATTTAGGCTTTAAAGTCATATGGTATGCTCTGGTTTCCCCAATTGTCTTTCTTCTTTGCAAGGAATTTTCATTTAGCGGTGTCATTCATGGGCAAGACGCTTTGTATCTCCAATTGCTTTATTGGATGCCATACAACTGGCTTCCGCATCTTGTTCATGAATGTAGTCCGAACGGTGCTGACCATGGCTATATATCGCTTAAAATGTATGAAATGTATGTTTGATATTATTTAAGATCATAAATAATGATGGTAAAAACATCTATTACTTCATATAAATTGAAACCTTACATGGGTCCGTTGCATGGACAGGTAAATCAGGACCCGAATGTATTAGTTTGGCTGGTCAGCACGAAGCTTGATGATATTTGTTATACAATCAGGCAAAACATAACTAACCGTAAGTTGTTGTGAAACCTGTAGCTGTTCATCATACAAAATGATGACGCTGTCCTATTGTGAGTGGCTTGGATCAGCTGCCTTTCCTTACCCATTATTGAGAATTATCATATCCATAGCAACCACATGATCACCCTGTGATGTATATGAGAATTAATATGTGTATGAAAAGTTGAGTTGGAATGAAAGTGTATATACAGAAGTTGAGAGTACAGGTAACCTTACCAGCCTCAGCTAGTGGGAATTTCCCTTTAGTTGAGCAGTAGAGTGTTTGGCTAGAGACAGAAGGGTCACTAGTTCGAGCCTCAGTGGTAGCTGGGTGTTTTTCATTACTCCTTCTTATTACATGAGTAGGGTGTCTAAGATATAGATCCTTTTTTTCACAGATTACCAAGGTAATCATTTGTTACACATAGCATCTATCTTTTCTCAATATACATTGTAATTTGTAGGTTTTATATTTATGATACCGTAGAAAAAGGAAATACTGTAAGTGAATATTTTATTTTTGAAGGGAAACAAATTACATGCAAGATTTTCTAGCTGCTGTGTATACATTTAAGGCAAATTGTTTTTTGAATGAATTGTTTTGTTATGAAAAATATCTTATTGAAAGTAAATACATGGTATATACCTCAGCAATGTTACAAATGTAGTGTGTTAGTTTTAATTCATTGTTAAATTTTGTAATAGTCCGGTAATATACAATTCATTACCCTGCATTAACGGAAAATTCCAGTAGGTCCTGTCGGTGGAAGCAACATAAGGTGACATAAGGTAAGGTAATTTTTAAAAAATAAAATAATTCAAGTATTTCTTTTGTTCATCTATAGCAATGACATAATCCAATGAGGAGGACTTGAGAGTTGTTCAGTTACTATGCCAAGTGAAATTTGAAGTATGTGTAAATTATGAACATGCACCCAATGCTTTTGACCAGAGCTTAAGACTTATTCACCTTCCCAAGTGACTAAATATCATTGTGAATGATGCCTAAAAGAAATGCAGTTGACGGCGAAGGTGCCAAGTACCACAAACTGACCAGGTCAGGGGATGATGGTTATATAGATCTACAAGTAAGTATACATGAACTTGTATAATTCTACAAACAACAAATGATCTAAAATTTAAAAGTTTACAACTTCATAACCTCTGTAGTTGCTGTAGGATGTTTTGTGCGTATGGCACCATTAGGTATATAAAAATCATGTCTATATATAAATTTAAAAAAAGATAAACAACAATTGAGCAGGTGTCAAAAAGTCAAACTTTAATGAATGGCTAACTGCTATTGAACCTTCATTTGAAACATATTTTGATGTTCTATTGTATTTTTTTGTGTCAGTATCAATGTAAAAGCATCAATTGGATGTCAGAATGATTTGGACTCTCCTCAAAAATGATAAACGATTGTAATTACATGTATATCATACAGTTAGAGAGAGTTGTACTCTTCCAGAGATCCAAAGTTGTAACTCTAGTGCTGAAAATGTTTTAAAAACTTGAACATTCATGCTATAGTTATCTCCCCATTTACATTAGTTGTGCTTTCTGCTTATTACCAAATTCTCACCAACTTAAATAATGTTATTTCTTTTGACTATGAATCATTTTCATATTTGTAGTTTGAGAAACCACCTCCAAAGGTGCCATACAAAGCCATTTTTTTGGCTGTTGTACTTTTCTCAGTAGGAAGTCTCCTGATAATTATTGGTGCCTTGTTGCTAAGTGGATACATTGATGCTCAGGTACAGTAGAAAAAAGCGCTTGTCATAAATTTCTATGCTTCTGCCATAGCTCACGTAATGGTATATTTCCTGTGCATTATTTTAAGGCAGAGTACAGATCCATTTATATAAACTATGTAAAGAATTTGGTTCACATACTGAATTACACATTTACATTATTCCCTTTTCAAACCATATCATGTCAATAGGTTATAATCATATTCTTCCCTGAAATTTTTTAAACTTACACTTTTCATAGAAAAAGGCAAGTTTTTTTTGTTTTGTTTTTTTTTTGTTTGTTTGTTTTTTTTTTTTTAGGGTTGTGTGTGTTTATTTTTTGTGTAAATAATTGTATATTTTAATTTTTGTAGCATGAGAATAAGTTTCTATCTTCTTGTTTCCAGTCTGTTTATTATGTTTAAAATTTTTTTAAACAGTACCAGGATAGGACTTGGCCTGTACTCCTCATTGGTGCACTGATGTTCATCCCAGGAGCCTACCACGTCCGTATTGCTTATTACGCCTACAAAGGCTACACAGGATATTCATATGATGATATACCCGAGTTTGATTGATAAATCAAGCAACAGAAGAACTTGGCAGAATAATAAGGACAATTTGTTTCATAAAGATATTTTTTGAAAATTTTGAAACTTTTTCTTGAATGCTTTAATATCTTGATATAATTACAGAAACTATTTGTTGTTATTCCTTGAAATTAGCCTAGATATTCTGAATATTGTATTTCCCCTAATGTACTTAATCTAAATCTCGCATATGCGATTTAGAAATATTGTTAAATCACTTATTTTTCATTGGGGATAGTGTTATTATACTTAAAATCTTGCAACATGTTGTAATCGCAGTGAATAAATTTTGTGTAATAACACCAAACAGCTTTGTTATAATTGGTTTGTTGCAATGAAACATATTCAGGAAGTGTTCTGTTTTCCATTGTCAGATATTGAGAGCTATGTGATCCTGAATAAATGAAGGAATCAGTATTTGAAATTGTTCCATATCTATGTTATCAAACTCAGGTACATGTACAGTTACGATGGATAATTCCAATCTGAAAGTTAGGATCAGTAATGCATTGTGTTAATTATTTGCTATTTGGCCATTGTGACAAAAATTGACGGAAGACAGTTTTTGACTTGTGCCTTGTCAGGGCGTTGAATTCATGATCATATTCTGTTATGAAATTGATGTTATTTTTATTTGAATATTTTGTAACACTGTTAATGGTCATCTAGGCAGTATCATGGTTTGTGGTACCATGATTATCATCCAATAAGCTATTGTTATGGTTTATCATTTACAAAAATGAAACCTCAGACTCCAGGCTTTATACATATCCTGGAAAACTCATTGAATTTCACCTAAAGGTCCATGAATTGTATTGAAAAACATATTCTGGTATAGTCCTGCAGTTGTTAAGTTGGGACATATTACTGTACCAGATACGGTTGATGGATAAAATGGTAGGCTAATGTATTTGACACTGCATAGGATATGCCTTGAACGACTTGGCTACAGCGTTCATAATTGTTTACGTTCATGTGAAGGAACGTGATTGTAACTAAGCTTATCCCATATGTAAACAATACTGAGGAAAATTTGGAGGATTTTTTGCCAGCTGTAGTTTTCGCTATGAACAATTCTGTGACTTCTACATCAGGATATTTTTATCCCCCGCGAAACACGTTTTTGGGGGAGGGGGGATTATTAAATTGGGCTCTGTCCGTCCGTCCGTCCATCCGTCTGTCCGTCCAAGTGCTTTTCCGGGCTGTAACTTTAGAACCATTCAACTCAACTTCACAAAACTTTCTGTATATATTAAGTCATTGCCCTAGTTGTGCCTTTTGCTATTGTCGACATTTCACTTTTTATATTTTTTTCTGTTTCCATGGAAACATAGTCAAATAACACAAAAAGAGGCTTTTCCAGGCTATATCTTCCAAACTTTTCCACTCAACTTCACAAAACGTTCTGCACATATTAACTTAGTGCCATAGTTGAACCTTTTGCTATTAACAACATTTCATTTTTTTAATATATTTTTTCAATTTTTGCAAAAATATATTTAAAAACCTCAAAAGAAGGCTTTTTCTGAGCTACAACTTCAAGGCATTGGCCCCTCAGAGTGTGATCATTATCATTATTATTATGTTTCACATCTCTTACATAGTAAATCTTTTATTGCCTGAAGATAGCTGTTATGCCTGAAAATGTTACTGAAACACATTTGTTGTGTTGATTCTAAATTTTCAATTATATCTCTCTATATATATCTATAATGTTGAAGTTGAGGAGATGTGAGTTTATTATTTTCTACTAGTGCTTTCCCTGTAATAGACCATCACGTGCAAAGTACTGATACATAAGTGTGTGAAGTCTCAAATTATTACAGTGCCATATATAGCATATTTGGCTTCCATACCAACACCTGTGCGCGGGGGATAAGCCACGCTTTACGGCATCTTGTCCTTGTAAAATTCTGTTCAGATTCTGACTATCGTTTCCAATATGTTCAGTAAATCCAATACAAGGCAATGGTTCTGCTGATCTTGACACTTACATGGTATGAAGAACAGATGAGTGGTGATAAGAGAATATCTCCCTGAACATGTTGACCAGTCTGTCTTATGTCTATCAATACCATGTATCCACAGGAAAGGGTCAGAAACTTCAGGGTCTTTACAAAGGAGTGTGTGTGGTAATGAATATAATATCGTCTCACTTGGTGACACTCGTACAACTACTTCTACCTTGATCTATACATACATTTGTATGTAGACCGGCTAAAGCGTGATTCCTCAACCGGACGACCACGTTCATGTTACTAAGACTGTTCAAGTACATGCTGGAGTACAAACTGTACCCATAGATATCAATAAAGAATTCAAACTCATAGGCTCTGACATTCCCCAGAAAGACACTGACAGTGTATCGAATATCGTGTCAGAGCAGTCTCTACAAACGGTAAAGTGAAATTATCTACATCGGACCCCGACCAACAATCACAAGCTGTTCACAATAATACGGGACGTCCAAAACGAAACATTCAGAAGCCTAAAAGATATTGCACTTCCACAGACAGTTCGCCTGACCTCTCCTGTAATTCAAGGAAGGAGTACAAAATCAGAGAAAGATGGAGTTAGGAACAGAGTTCTTAATTGACTTGGATGGGGAACCTTCACAAAACGCTCAGTGGATACCATATTGCAAGGAGAACCATGGTGATGAAACCACCATTAATCATATGAGTTCCTATGAACTTTGTATATTAATTATTTCATGTTTAATATACTTTCAAGCGACTTTGAAGATATAATCAGACATATTCATCTTAAACGAATTTGTATCCCCACTAACTAAAACATTTGAAGTAAATATACAAATTGACATTTCTGTTAAGTACTGAATGTTAAATTGAAATGTCATTGTCAAATGCTTCCCAATGTAATATGCATTATTTTCATTACAAGGTGACAGTTCATATTTGTATTATTTTTTCTAAATTCTTTAAATATTGCAACTGTTGATCTCCATGATTGATTTATTAATTGTTTTATGATCATTGATGCGTTTTGAACTACTATTGAAAGTTATCAGCAATTGAAATGTAATTACAGTTTCCTTATAATGCATGAAATAATTGAAGAGGCCATTATAGTAATCTATGACATATGGCTGTATCATAACAATAAGATGTTTGATGCCATACAAAGATGCTTCAGTGTCTTAGTTTGATGTATTATTTCATGACTGATCATGAATTGCTATTGTTTAGTACTTTACTATGTTTGTTTGGAAACGTTTTTGTTGGTTACAGGTCATACACACCAGAACAGATATTTCACTTACTGTGACTATATGCTACTGCCTAAAATGTGTTTCTTGCTGGAGTACAGTATTCATTTGTGACTATTAGAATGAATGGTATAATTTTGGTCTGATGAAACAAATGTGTGTGAGATGTTGGAAGTATGTATTTTCCAAATTGTTTTTTTTGCTTCATTTATCATCATATTTCCTAGAGGTCAACTTTTCTATATGTTATCTCTGTACTTGCCTGCTTCATGAAGGTTTTAATAATTAGCTGTCCCGCTGTATCATTATTAGTATGAACCTAATGGTATACTTATGGATTATTTAACGTTGTTCCATACTTAATGCCATTATTTGTATATATTGTTTATACATCTCTTATCGTTCAATATTCTGTGCTGAAATGTTAATGTACCTTTCATCATGATGGGCGTGTCCTTATCATACCTTATCGCTGATTGCATTCTTTTAAGGTCAACTTTAGGCAATGTTGCAGTTTGAATTTGCGTAGTTGTATAAGTTTAATCAAGTTAAGGAGGTTTCACACATTAGTATCTCCTTTGGATAATAACTCTTGTAAATTATTTCTTTTACTCATAATATTTCTGAATTCCTTTGTTGAATAGATTGTAATATAATTTTATTGTTTATTTCAACACTTATATTATACCTGTGGTTGAAATTTACTGTAATTTTAAAGGGCGGTGGTGGGTTGGAGTGCGCGGATAACGTGTATCATGAGTGGTGATAACTCTTTTTGTCTAATTAGTTTATACAGAAGGCCATACTTTGTTAACTCCCCTGTTATCCAACTCTAAGACAGGGAAAATAAAGAAAAGAATAAATGGAAAACCTAACAACATGGTTGTGATTCTTGTTGCTCTGAGCTTATGTCCTAAGAACAACCTATGTTGGCGACATTTTTGTTGAAACATACGGGGAAAATCGGTACCAAAGAGTCGGAATAAAACACCTTATCAATTATGCACATACACTGAAAAGTCATTAATATTGGAGCGTCATTTGGGAGTGTTTTATACTCCTGTACTTGTAAAAAGTGTTATCGTATGTAACCAAGGACACATAGACTTAGACTGCAGTGATCTGGATGTTACGATGACTTTTGGAAAAATAAGTTTACCATTTGTAACTCTCGTTATCATCGATCTCCGATATGGTAAGTTGTTTCAATTGTATCCCTTTTGATAAAAAAGAGAGAAAATAAATTAAATCGTCATAATTTTTACGAGTACAACACTTGTATTATACATTTGACTGGTATAGACCGTAGCATTTGTATGATTTTGGTACCTTGTGTTACTGAAGTGCCTTAGAAAGACGAAATATCTAGCGAATTTTCTGTATCACTAGATTCATAAAGAAAGCTGTTTATCTGTACAGTCTTTTTTTTTATTCACCATTCACGGCATAGTGAGATGGCGGTAGATTAGGGATCTACATGAAACACGAGTACTCCATTGGATTCATAGATCTGTGTAATGGAAGCGATGAAATTCATGATCTTATTTTAAATCTATAATACAAGGTGCTATTTACTTGTGTGCCCTTTTGTACAATCATGGAGATTGCATATAGCAGACATTTCTGGTGGAATGTTTTAGTTCCTGAAGTTTAGCGTAACTTGCATGTCACGGTTTTAGTATCACGGCAACAATAAGTACACATGTACTTGATGTTCTTTAAAAAATATAGGATACATGAACATTTAGAAATTAATTTCACTTTGGCGCATGTTCTCCTCCCTTCCTTGATTTGACATTATTTGCGATCATTTTCCTCTCAGTCGCTTGTAAACATTTAGAGTTTAAACACTTAATCAACAACGAGTCCTAGACGGACGAAACTATTCATTACGTTTTGTGTACAAATTCATAGTTAGATACAGTAGAGCCAAACAAGGAATTAGACTGTATCATACAGCTGTTTCGTCCTTCTAGGTCTCGTCAGTGATGCTACATCACACAGCAGTTTCGTCCTTCTAGGACTCGTCAGTGATGTTCAGGGCCAAAATGCTGACACCCAAGGAGGCGATTGATGAAAACCAAAAGTAATCAAATGAAATATTAAAATCTAGATGGGAAGGTTCACTAACCCCATAATTAACTTTATAAAAGAACCAAGTACATGTGTTCGTGGCATGCACGTAACAGGTAACAGTAATTAAAAGTCGATCTGTTTGTATTTTAGTGATGGGAATATTTGTATCAAATCATTGGCTGGAGGATGTAACCGGCGTTGATAAGTTGTACAGCTCATCTATACTGACAACAACTGAGTTATCACTGGCAGTTTGCATTGCTTCCTGTTCAAATGTAACCAAGTTACTTACATATAATGACAGTTCAGGAGAATGCAGCTGCCTCAACTGCAAGACCATTGCATCAACAAAACCTGGAAATCGTCTATGGAATAGTAAGTTTTATGTAATTAATATATCTGGCCTGAGTGTGAGTTAGCAGAGGATGTGTATCGACCTTGTTTTTTGTACACGTTGACTTTGGAAAATAACTTTTGCTCTAGATTCCAAGTTTGTGTGTGTTATAACGTGATAGATTCGATGAACAGTATCGGATAGGCATCTTTTATAACTGCATTCTTTCTACGTAAGATGTCTCTGGTCTGAGTGTATTGTTTAGAAGATCTAGTATAATTCTGGTGTATGTATCCTGCGTTGGAAATCTTGTATAATAATGACCCGAGTCTTCTGGTTTGGAGATATTGTATAATTTTGGTCCGAGTGTGTTGTGCTGGAGATCTGGTACAACTCTGGTCTCAGTGGGTTGTAATGGAGATATTGTATAACTCTGTTTTTAAAGTGTAATGTGTTAAAGTTCTTTTATCACTCTTATCTGAAGTTTTTCGGTGGAAATCTGGTGTAACAAATGTCTAAATGGGAATTAATAGCTGTATGTACACCAAAGAACTAATAATGTTTTTTTTTGATGGTTTTAAGGCCAATTTGAATGACTTGATTTCCCCATAAATCAGGAAGCGAACTATTTAAATTTTACTAATTGTATATGCTAGTTTCTCGACTTTATTCCTTTCTTGATAAACACAAGAAATATAGGACGCAACCATGGTTATTAAAAACAGTTAGAAATGATACTGAAATTACTTTTTTGTTTAAGGAGAGCTTGGTGGTTTTGTCTATAATGCACAACTAGGATGGTATACCAGACTGTTCCTAACTATAAAGAAAACGCATTCTGAAGCAGAAGCGTTTTGCGGTTGTCTAGGAGGGAGACTGCTCGTTCTAGACTCAAGTGAGAAATTTGACTACATTGCAGGACTTATGGATTTACAAGGTAAGTTCCGGAATAAGAATGATGATATTGATAATAATAATAAAGAAAAAATCCGACTAGAGATTAGTTTGCCTTTTGTCTATATAATAAGCCAAGATGAAACCCAGTTTTCATCTTCTTTGAAATAATTTACTTTCGTGGAGTTTTTATTGCCGATGATTTCGTGGGTATTCTTAATCTCGAATTCAAGAGCTATCCAAGAATGGATATAACTAGTTTAAACAGATTTATTGGGCTATATTTATCTACCGAATCAAATGTCCACGAAAAAGCGATTTACTGGAAAACCACGAAAATTGAACCCCAGGAAAAGATAAAATTTTACAGTATTCAATGAGAAATATTACTATATAGAATCTATTAATCATTGACCAGTGAACCATATAATTTATCAATGTGATAGAAACGTAAATTATCATAGCAATAATGATATAATTTTTAAAGACAATTTTGCAAATGAAGTGAAAGTTTCATCTCTTGGATTTCAATAAAATCTTCTCCGCGTACAGTTCAGATTTACTGATAATTGTTTTTAACACCGAAGGATATCCATGCTGATATGGTAGCAACACTAGGGAATGATACCCCTTCGTATGCTAAGTGAACAAGTGTGTGGCGGAATTTAAGCGTGGCAGGCAGTGTCTTGGGTATGACTCCCTTTCCAGAAGGCCTGCCACTGTTGCAAAAACACCAAGAAAATACCAACATGGCATCATAATCATAATTCATAATAAAATTCCATAAAATTAGAGCAAAATATGAACGTAAGAAAGATTTATACGAAAACTCCTGAAAAAGTATTAGGAGAATTAAACCTGGTATTCCGGAAGAGTAAACATCTTCTGCTTCGTCGATGACACCCGCCATGTAAACACTGGTCAATCCAAGTAATGTCACGCTCTCAAATGAGAACAAGGTATACAACAACGGAACCAAAAGGCAAACTAATGAGTATCAAATACGTTCAGCTTTATGTCACACAAAGAAATAGAACATTCTCAATGAGATCACTACGACGAACATAAAACTTCCTCTTAATTTTCATCAACCTGCATCTTTTGAACCATTATGCTAGTTTGTCAGTCAGTTGACGCCTTCTTGCACGAAAATCGTGATGATAGGGATAAGCCCTTGAATAAAAACCATATGTTAGAAATTCAGGAATATTGCTATCCATTAATGGAAGATTCAAATTAGGGAAAACCAATCCATGTTGGTTTCGTTGTAGGAGAAGATCGTGATACGCAGCTGATGTACAAGAGTCTGTCGTATTTTTGGTTGCCAGTTATAGTTGATATACACGATGGACGAAGTCAATACATTTCTTGTTATTTACTGACAAGACGTCATGAATATATGTAGGTGAAACTAAAGGACTTTGCAATGTCTTTGTGACCAGATTTGATAAATTCAACCTCGTATGAAAAAAACAAAACAAAACAAAAACAAAAACAAAAAGGGGCGCAGTTGGTTCCCATAGGTATGCCAATAGTCTGTTGGAAGATCTAAACTTCATACTCTGCTCTAAGAGGTTGTCAACCAGAAACACGATCATTTCTATGATTTCGTCCTCTGAATATTTCTTCTTTTATTTGGACGAAATGTTTACGAAATACACTTAAGTATAGTTAATAACCATATATTTATACTACCAAAACTGGCTAGTAAAGTCCATGACATTATTTCATGGACTTTAAAATGAATTCACTGAAAGATCAATGATTCAATATTTGAAAAGTGAAATATTCACACACATCTTTGTAAGTCGTGTTCCACTTTTTAATTATCTGCTTTAATGTATTTACGTTTATTTTGGATATGTGTGTTAAATCTTGTATAGTAATATAAAAAGCTCAGCACATTTCTTATGTTACATTCCTTTTTCTTTGTTTCAGTCAGTTTGTTTCGAAGATAAAATTCAAAGATTCATTCAAAGTAAAACCAATGGCGATAATGATAGTGTCTTTTGCCTTGCGTGAAAAACTTAACAATCGTTTCTAATCTAACTTTTGACGGAACCGCAAAAAATTGATCCATAAAAAAAAAAAAGTACTGTAGTCCGAAGCAACCTTAAGTCATTGGAACACAATTTCACTAATGTTTCATTTTGCGTAACATAGGAATACCCATTCATGTTGGGGCAACGGACGAGGCTACCGAGGGGATATTCCTGTGGAGTACTGGCACCGCCATTACAGAAAACTGGAAGCGCGGTGAACCGAATGATGGTAAAGGAGCAGAAGACTGTGCTGTTTTAAAAAAACCGGAGTTATCGTGACATTCCATGCAACGAAAAACGGTATTTCGGATGTGAAATGAAGTAGAGGTTAGAAAAAGAGAGTACCACGAATGTGTACCTGTACACATGCCTAAAGAAGAACGATTTTATGGAGTTTTATACGAAATAAACATTTCATTGATATATTTCAAAGAACTACAATGTATTTAAAAAGGTTTAAGTCTTGTTACCTTTAAATACATTATTTGTTGTTAGGACTTTGGTAGCTTGTGTTAGCAAATATATATTATATAGGTGTTTCCTTATGTGTGAGTTCCTTTCAGTAAAATTTAAAATCATCACTGCATAGGAATATAGTATATATTATTATTAGTAGTAGTATGTAACACATCCACCTTGTCAAGTCATACCTACATTCGTAGGATAACAAGTTTTGATAGTAAGGAAACATTATCAAAAAATATATAGATACCTTAAATATCATTTTCAGGTAGCTGTACATGTTGCTAGTGGGTTTTTTTTTTAGTAAAGTTGCATCCTAATTAGGCCTTTAATTAAAACAAATACGCAAAAGAAACCTTAAAAAAAGAAAGAATGAAATAATTCTTTACAGTTACTTGTGAGAGAAAAAGGGTAACAGATCGAATACCGATAAGATGTTTTTCATTACGACATAATGTATGGAATAACCGAGTTTACATTTCAAGTGTCAAAAGAGAGTGCTATAATAAACAATTAGTAAGACGGATCGCCAGTATTTGGTTATAAAGCGCGCATATTTATTAGCTGATGAATTAATCTAGCAAGGTGCTAGTTCGTATCTCGACCTTACGACTGCGTCACCAAAGTTTGTTTAAAAGGAATATTGGACGAATAACTCAAATCAAGAAAAACGATATGGCGAACTGTAATGCCTTGATTTCACTATCATGTCATTTCTGAAAACACACCTAAGCATGCAACAGCAAACATATTATCACAGATAAACGATGAGAAAACTCATTGAAACTTGTGATAAATCAGATTCCTTTGTTACATGTTGAGTAATGGCCATTGCAGGTTTGAATCGAAAATAACAGTTCAATGCCGTTAGAAATCAAATCGATCAAATGATTTACATGGATACCCTAAAAGGACATCGAAAATAACACCAAGAAACCTAAACCCTGAAAACTAATCTGGACACTACTAATGAGCAACCTCACAGAATAGCATACCGAAGGCCCGTCGCAAAACCACCAGAGCAATGAGGATGAAGTGTCTCCTCCATTGACACCTTAAAATACTTATAAGATAAGATAGATTATTACAGGTGAAACGAGCACATTTATTGTAACAATGATGTTGAAATAAATAATTGTGAAAGATTAACAATGATACAATATTCTTTGATAAATTTAGCGTGTAATGAGCTAATTCAAAACATTTTCGTGCATTGTACAGTATAACTAATAGATTAAAAGACTCCATCCAGTTTCAACATAAGATGTTTCTAATACAAAATCCTAGATGTTATCTCTCAGTTATCTGTTCATGACTACAGTACTTCATGAATTTTTTATGACGAAACCCAGGACTAATGAAGTATAACCTCATCAATTATATACGTTTATATAGGTAGTTGAAAGGGTTCACGCTGGTGACATGCTATTTTTATTTTTATCTTCATGATGTTCTATATATTACCAAAAGCAAAGACACGCTGGCCTTGATACCACAGTAATATCGAGTTGAGATGGTTGGTCCGAAAGTTTTTTTTTTATCTTAGTGCTATTTTGTATATCACCACAAACACAGGCACATACAGTTACATACCACAGAAATATCGAGTTGAGATTGTTAAAAGAAATTTTCTGCTGACATTTTTTGTAATCATCGGTCACCGACTTGGTACTGATAGAGTCTATATCTGTGCGTGATTTGTTAAGTCTAGTGCTTGTGTTTCTGTAACAAGTAAAACCTTTCTAGTGCCGCTTTTTGCATTCGTAATAAAGTCATATTGGCATCGTTTCTTGTAGCGTATCAAAAGCAAATTTTAATTTCGTTGTATGTCATTCCATTAAATATATTATATATATGTGCTTGGTCAATAAGGATATTGTACGCGTGTGCGGGACGGGACGACGTGAGTATAATTGCATTTTATTGGAGTTGTTATAACATGTTTGTTATTTAGATGAATAAACAATAAAAGAAGAAAGTAGGATAAATGTATTTGTTCATTTACTGCCATTTCAAATATCAAATTAAACCACGCTGTTTGCGTGCTATCGTAACCCTACTTCGTTCAACCGTAAACGACGTTAGGGAAATGACATCGTCAACCTTATTTATTCACTTCGCTTGAGTCGAAATACGGATAAGTCGAAATATTTTACATGGTCCCTTGAGTTTCGAGATAACGAGTTTCGAATGTACTTTATTATACATTTGCATGGATTTCCTCTTTTGTATCATGGAAGAGATATAGAGGGTCAAACAGTCTCCCTGGCACAATGTTGGTGTATTGCTAAATCGTTATAGAAAGGTGTCATTGCATAGTCTTTCTATAGTTTATTTCCCAGAATAGTGAGATAGAGTATGTCGTAAGACCTCGGTTGAAATCATTTATATAAATAGCAATGGAATACATTTTGATTTAGTAGTCATGGTAACAGGATCCATATATACAATAACCCTTTTTTGTTACTCTCCTAAAACGCCTTTAAGATAAAGAGTTCCTTGTGATGATAATGATAGGGAATAATATACCTTGTAAAGATGCTTTTATTTTGCCCATATGATCATAATTCGTAAAATTGAATGTTCCTGTGCGACACCTTGTTTACAAGACGAAAAGTCTTGCTTGATCCATTGATGTACATCAAACGAATATCGTGGTCGCACAATTGTATATTGTAATGGCTTTGAAGTTGGGTGTCGCTCCTTTGTAATTTTCAAACGGGCAGTATCGGCCTTCGATTGGTCACGTTTCTTTCTCCTGGAACCAATAAAATTGTTTCAATTTTGCCATGATATGTTCAAAGAGTGCATACAGCGAAAGTGATTGTAACTCTGGAGTATCGAGGATGACTCTGAGGAGCAAATGCATCACTCTGGATAATTGATTTTGTTCTCCGATTCAGCTTAATTAGTTGAAAAGAGTTGAAGTGTGCAAAAGATTGATAACAATTGATCAGTGTTGCTCGAATACAGTTTGTCAAAGTCTTGTATTAGCCGTACGGAATGTAATGTGTTGGACATCTTGTATGACTCTAGTCAGAGTTTATTGTGTTGGAAATGGTATATAGCTCTTGTCTGACGCGCTGTATTGTATTGAAGATCTTGTATATTTCTTGTCTGATTCAGTTTATTGTGTAGGTGATCTTGTACAAATTCTTGTCTGATTCAGTGTATTGTGTAGGTGATCTTGTACAAATTCTTGTCTGATTCAGTGTATTGTGTAGGTGATCTTGTACAAATTCTTGTCTGATTCAGTGTATTGTGTAGGTGATCTTGAACAAATTCTTGTCTGATTCAGTGTATTGTGTAGGTGATCTTGTACAAATTCTTGTCTGATTCAGTGTATTGTGTAGGTGATCTTGTACAAATTCTTGTCTGATTCAGTGTATTGTGTAGGTGATCTTGTACAAATTCTTGTCTGATTCAGTGTATTGTGTAGGTGATCTTGTATTGTGTATTGTGTAGGTGATCTTGTACAAATTCTTGTCTGATTGTATTGTATTTCAGATCTTGTATTGTGATTCAGGTGATCTTGTACAAATTCTTGTCTGATTCAGTGTATTGTGTAGGTGATCTTGTACAAATTCTTGTCTGATTCAGTGTATTGTGTAGGTGATCTTGTACAAATTCTTGTCTGATTCAGTGTATTGTGTAGGTGATCTTGTACAAATTCTTGTCTGATTCAGTATATTGTGTAGGTGATCTTGTACAAATTCTTGTCTGATTCAGTGTATTGTGTAGTATTGTGTGATCTTGTACAAATTCTTGTCTGATTCAGTGTATTGTGTAGGTGATCTTGTACAAATTCTTGTCTGATTCAGTGTATTGTGTAGGTGATCTTGTACAAATTCTTGTCTGATTCAGTGTATTGTGTAGGTGATCTTGTACAAATTCTTGTCTGATTCAGTGTATTGTGTAGGTGATCTTGTACAAATTCTTGTCTGATTCAGTATATTGTGTAGGTGATCTTGTACAAATTCTTGTCTGATTCAGTGTATTGTGTAGGTGATCTTGTACAAATTCTTGTCTGATTCAGTGTATTGTGTAGGTGATCTTGTACAAATTCTTGTCTGATTCAGTTTATTGTGTAGGTGATCTTGTACAAATTCTTGTCTGATTCAGTGTATTGTGTAGGTGATCTTGTACAAATTCTTGTCTGATTCAGTGTATTGTGTTGCAGATCTTGTACAAAGTCTTGTCTGATTCAGTGTATTGTGTAGGTGATCTTGTACAAATTCTTGTCTGATTCAGTGTATTGTGTAGGTGATCTTGTACAAATTCTTGTCTGATTCAGTGTATTGTGTAGGTGATCTTGTACAAATTCTTGTCTGATTCAGTGTATTGTATTGTGTAGGTGATCTTGTACAAATTCTTGTCTGATTCAGTGTATTGTGTAGGTGATCTTGTACAAATTCTTGTCTGATTCAGTGTATTGTGTAGGTGATCTTGTACAAATTCTTGTCTGATTCAGTTTATTGTGTAGGTGATCTTGTACAAATTCTTGTCTGATTCAGTGTATTGTATTGAAGATCTTGTACAAATTCTTGTCTGATTCAGTGTATTGTGTAGGTGATCTTGTACAAATTCTTGTCTGATTCAGTGTATTGTGTAGGTGATCTTGTACAAATTCTTGTCTGATTCAGTGTATTGTGTTGATCTTGTACAAATTCTTGTCTGATTCAGTGTATTGTGTAGGTGATCTTGTACAAATTCTTGTCTGATTCAGTGTATTGTGTAGGTGATCTTGTACAAATTCTTGTCTGATTCAGTGTATTGTATTGCAGATCTTGTACAAATTCTTGTCTGATTCAGTGTAT